GAAATACTTAGCTTTACTTCATTTATCAGAAGTACATTTATCAGATATTTCAAGAATTATAAGAGTAAGTTAGTAGAAACTGATGTCATAAGATATTAAACCCAGAAAAAACCTTAAAGGTCATTTAGATTAATTGCTTTATTTTCCAGATTATTTCTATAAGATGAAATGTCCCATTTGAAGTGGTCTATTTAAGCTAAACAATATAATTCTGAAATTTTTTCAAAGTTAGATTAATCAAGCAGATGGAAATTAAACACATGGCAATCAATTTTTTCGACCAAAAGACAAAAGAAATAAGTTAAAGCTGTCATATTTTGAAGCGTAAAAATAATCCTTATTGTCGGGCATGGTGGCACATGCCTTTAATTCCAGCACTCGAGAGGCAGAGGCAGGCAGATCTCCAAGTTCAAATCCACCCTGATCTACAGAGCGAGTTCCAGGACCACCAGGGCTACACAGAGAAATCCTATCTGGGGAAAAAAAAAAAAAAGTAAAGTTTAAAATATTCCTTATTATAAATTACTCTTAATGTCTTATTCAATGTTTTCCACAATTTAAATGTTACAAAATAATGTTTCCTCATCTCTTCATTTGCCTATAATCCTATGGAATTTTTACTTGTTAAGGAAATACCATTAAAGAGGAACATAGAAAGCAGAATGGTGCAGTGTATCTTATATTGGCATCTCCATGTGACTAGCATGTCTTGTTCTGTCCTCAGTGTACCAAGAGACATAGGTAACTGCAAAGCGTGACTCCACATGAAAGAGCCTCAAAACTAAGCAAACAGTTATTTCTTGTATTCTCTTAGAAGATTACAAGAATTTTAATAACTTCATATTGAGATATAAAATATTTGTATTCTCTATAAGGATAGTCTGACAATATTTCACTGACCTTAAATAAGTCAAAGAAATGCACTGAGCAACTATTGAGAGCAAAACCTTCTATGACATGAGGCAGCTGGGTATTTACAAGACCAAATTTGAAAACGTAAGTTGGACCTTATAATGTGGATGCTTTCCCCATTCCATTCAAATGAATGCCTTCCTATATAAATTAAGATGTTCATATTACAGCTCTCTCACTTGAAAGAAAATTTAGAAGTTATAATATAGAAACCCAGCGTAGTCTTCCCTGAACTAAAAATCTAAATTGCTTTTTAGTCTTTTACTTCCTGACATCACCCTCAGATAGAAATCGAGAAGAGAGAATTGTGAAGTGTCCTGCCTCTGGCTCCTTCCTTCTTCAATGAAACTGCTCATGCAACTAAGCTAAAATATAGAGATTTAAAGTTGTTCACAGTACAACATATGTTCAAGGAGTACTGTAGCATGAATCTTTAAAAGTTCTTATTAATAAGATCAAACCTGAGGCCAGGTATTGGGGTGAAACTGGAAGATCAGAGAGACAGAACAAGCCACAGCTAACCTCACCTGGCCAACTTCTCAGCTGACCTTGTTTCCTCAGACTGGAAGCCTCTGTGTCCTCATATCCAAATGGCTCTCAGCTGAACTGTGCTGCTCAAAACCTAAAAGCTAACCAGACAAATGCTTCTAGTTTCTGGTCTTCATGCCTTATATATCTTTCTGTTTTTGCCATCATTCCCTGGGATTAAAGGCTCACTTCTTGGGATTAAAGGCGTGTGTCACCATGCCTGCCCGTTTCCAATGTGGCCTTGAACTCACAGAGATCCAGAGGGATTTCTTTCTACCTCTGGAGTGCTAGGATTAAAGGTATGAGTGCCACCATTTTCTAGCCTTTGTATCTAGTGGCTGTTCTGTCTCTGACCCCAGATAAAGTTTATTAGGGTGCACAATATTTTGGGGAACACAATGCCACCACAGAGTAGTCTAACAGTTTACTGTGCTTAAGACGTCTGTAGTAAAAGGGCACCTTTCATATATTAGAAATGGAGATATGTATTAGCAAACAATTAAGCTATGATCAGATGTCATCAGATACTTCTGTTTCTAGTCTACACTGAGTAGCAAGGACCAGATTTTTCCCTCCTACCTGAACAAAAAGCATAAAAACATGGAAGACTCTCTGCTATTTGGTTTGCTGTTCTGGGATTAGAAATCACACATGCTAGGCAACTGCTCTATCACTGAACTATGTCTACAGTCCTGTTTTATTTTAATTGAGACATGTAACCCACACTAGATTCGAATTTACAATCATCCTGCCTTCCTAGTAGCTCAGATTAAACAATGTTCCTCCATATCTGACGAGAAGAAGGTCTTTTCAGACACTTGATATCAGATGCTGTGCAATGGATAGCAGTTGAAGCATAGACTCACAAATGGTCAGAAAACAGAGAGTAAGGGTCTCTGGAGTGCTCAGCCGTAACAGTGACAACTACTCACACACTTTCTCCCCAGCCTCAGAGAACTCTGAGGAAGTGAAAGTTTTAAGAGTGTAAGAGCCCAAGGTTTGGGAGAGCTGGAGGAAACAGTATCTTCTGTACATGACAAGGCATTCATGAACTCATTGCAGCTGTGGTTGTTTGTACAAGCCCTGCACAAGATCAGTCCAGGGACTACTCCAGCAGGAAGTAGGGAAGGGCCCAGAAGCCCTACCTCTTCTGAGGAGTTGTGGACAGTTGGTGGCTGTTAGGAAAGAGAAAGCCTTTTTTAGGGTATGTCCCCTTGTACTATGCCATGGTCCATCGGATGGCCTCACATCTATGTGCATATGGGCAACACAGACTCAGTAGGTTATTTGAAAGAATGAGAAAGAGGAAAAGGGAGAGAATCAAGTTGGGAGGGAAATGGAGGAGGATCCGGAAAGAGCTGGAGGAGAGGGAAAAATACGATCAAAATACATATATGCATGTATGAAACCTCAACTAATGTGAACGTTGTGTTTTAAAAGTAATTAATATAAGGCAACAAAGGACAATGTCGGTGAAAGATAGACAAGGAGATAAGCGCAATAATAAACCCAGGGCTACTGTTCAAGAATTTTCATAAAACAGGACAGTGAGAGGAAGCTTAGGAAGAGCCTGGAGACAGAATCAAAGAGAAAAAGACTCAGAGGCTGAGAGGAAATTTTGAGGGTATTTTTAATTTAAAGAAAATGAAAAATATTAAATTGGAAATCGAGAGAAGCAACTAAAAGTACTTGAAAGAAATTAGGAGCATGTGATCCCTATATCAGAGAAAGGTATTAACACTTCACTTTCCCTTTAAGAAACACAAAATTCAACCAAAGGAAATAGAAAAAATAATAAGGATGAAAGCATAATTTAGCAATAGAAAAAACTCAATAAAACAAATTGATTTTTAGGTCAATAAAATTATCAAATATGTGACCAAATTCAACAGAAAAAAAGACTCTAATTACCAAAATAAGGAATGATGCAGCATCACCACTGAGTGTATGCATATTAAAAAATAGTGAAATATTACGAAGATTTTTCATCAATAAATTTACTTATGTGAAACTGGACAAATTCCTTAAAAGATATAATTATGAAAACTTACTCATACACACAAAAAAACCTTCTGAATCAAATAAAACATTGAAGTGTGCTTTAACACCTCCCCAGATACCTTATCAAATCAAAACTAACAAGTATGTTTAATAACTAAAAAAGGACCTGAGTCACTGGATGGCACCAATGAGACAACTCAACTGCTCTGCATGTGGATAAGACATAAAAAAATAGATTATCAGTTCTATACAAACTCTCCTATGACATTAAAGAGGGTAAAATACTTTATAATCTTTTCCATTAGGCCAGTGTGATGCTAATTCCAAAATCAAGGAAAGAGATTTGCAAATCAAACTCATTAATAATGAAATGAGTTACCTATCATAACCAACTGGATTTTATTCCAAGAAAAACAGGGATGGTTCAACAGTCAAAAATCAGTCAATATACCTCATCATCTTAAATAAGCGGGGGAAAAAATCAAAAAATAATCTCAATAGAAGGCAAAAGGCATTGGGAAGGTCCAACTCCTATTGAAGATCTTACAAAAAAAAAATTCTTAGCAAATTTGTAATTGATGGCACCTATGAAAAATTATAGGTAACATTATACCTAATATTGAAAGACTGAATACATTTCTTCTAAGACTAAGGATTTCTGCTTGTATCACTTTTACTCAAAATTATAGCAATATAATATGTGTACGTATACACATACATATGCACAAACTATCATCAAGCCAAGAGGAAGCATTAGGAGAAATAAAGGATTGGTTCTGGGCAAACAAAACATTGAGAGAAACAAACAATAAGAAAATAAAGACATAAAATCACACAGGAGAACTAATTCCCACAATTATTCCCAAATAATGTATGTACAGATTTGTCTATATGTAAAAACTAAGTAATTAGTTTAATGATAAGATATTAATTAGGAAGGGAATTCAAAGAACTCAGCAGAGCATTTGTAATACTGCTTTTGCTAATTTGACAAAGTATTCTATGAGTAACCTTTACATATTCACTAAAGCAGATAAAGTGTAGATAACACCTAAAATAAATATGAAAAAAAAAATCTGTAAATTCCATAGCTGAAAGCAATTTCATCAATACGAAAACAAAAACAAAGCGGAGTATAGCTTCCAAAGCTACAAAACAAGAAAAGATCTCAGAGCTGGAATGGTCTTGTTTCCAGTGACCAGGGAAGACAAATAATCTACAAAGTCTGTGCAAGTGTTCCAATAATAGAGAATCTCTATCAGAGTTCTGATAGTAATCAGTGGCTATTAAAGTCAATCTTAGTCTCTCTGGATCAGAGTTTTCATTATCCACAACAAAGGACATATCAATTAATCTCTAAATGTCTTCACTATGTTCGAAAGTCAAAGGCCCCAGGATTCTACCCAACATCACAAGCGGACTTGAAACAGTGAAGACCACCTTTCACATTCAGTAAAAGATGAGAATAACAGGGTGTGTTCTTCGTAATTTCAGGTATCTATTCCACTTTATTCACAATAAGCTTGACTATTGGAAAACAATCATATTTTGTCCTGTACCTTGTTTGAGCGTAATGACACTCGACCCCCACACCGAGCGCAGAACTTCGTTTGGCAATAAGAACAGTTATGGCCGCATCCGTCAGCAAACTTCGTCTTGTGGCAGATCCCACAGGTTGGGGCGTCACCCTTCTGTTCTTGCTGCTGCTGCGATTCTTCTCCCATCTTCTTGACTTGTTCCTTGTACATTTCAAACTGTTGATGCAGTTTTCTGCAGGAAAGAAAAAGGGTTTTCAAAATTGGTTTTCTGATGATCAAAGAAAATCACAATCTATTTTATAATCAGAATATACAGGATGAGATTAAAGGAGTATAAATTTTAATTTTATGAACTATAGAATAATATCTTGCTTGAATGGCATAGTGCAACATAAAAGTGTTGAAATTAGTTCTATCTTTGATAAACATATTAATTATAAAATTATGTTTGTGGAACACTTCCTTGAATATTAAACTAAACTTCTACCTACTACTATTTTTCAACAGTTTAGCCTCAGAAATACAGGAAGACAATTTTACCTCCACAAAGAATCCATAACCTAGTGTCTTAAAAGCAGAGACACAGTCTGAACTAAAGTGAACTAGACTCTCCACAGAGAGATAAATGCATCTGTTCACCTGTCAGAACACAGTTCAGCTATAAAAAGAAAACACTGTGACTGTGACACATTCTCAGCCTGACAAATGGAGTTATGCAAAAAAAAAAAAAAAAGGAAAGCCAGGTGTACTAGAAAATTAAAATACTGGAGCCGGGGAGCTGTCTCGGCAGCTAAGAGCACTTGTTACTCCGGGACCACATTGGGTTTCCAGGTCCCACATTGGGTGGTTCACAATGTCCCAGGAGCTCTGACACCCTCTTCTGACCTCTATGAACACACAGACTTGCTCATACTAACATGTAGAAACACACACATAAATAAATACAAATAAAATGAATCAAAAAGAAAACTAAGTTAAGAAAAGGGACAATTGGAAAGTTGTATCATTACAAATTTTTCTATTTTCTATTTTAATGCTTCATAACTATAATTAACTTAAGATTTAGAAAACCTCCAGGAGAGCTGGCACAGTGGCGTACGCCTTTAATCCCAGCACTCGGGAGGCAGAGGCAGGCGGATCTCAGTGAGTTTGAGGCCAACATGGTCTACAAAGTGAGTTTCAGGAAAGCCAGGACTATCACACACAGAAACCCTGTCTCAAAAACCACCAAAAAAAAAATTTTTTTAAAGATTTAGAAAACTAAAAGTGGTATCACTCCAATCCTAAAGCTGACAATCTACAAAACCATAACTTATTTTAAGCCCATCAGAAGGGAAGTTATCAGGCAAACAATCTAAATTCCAAAGTACACCAAGTCTAATTGTTCCATCTCTGGCAATAACACAGGAGAAGGAAGTAGTACCATACAGACAGGTAAAGGGAAATCTTTATTATTTGAGGAGTTGTTTATTTGTTTGCTGATTTTTGAGATAGCATCTCATATATCCAAGGATGGCTTCGAACTTTCTATGTATCAAAGATGACGTGGACTTCTGATCTCCAGCTTCAGGTGTCCATTGCTAGGATTAGAGGCACACACAACCACATCTGTTGTATGTGGTTGTGGAGACTGAAACTAAAGCTTCACACATTCTAGGTAAATACTGTATCTATGAAGCTACAGCTCTAGGCAGAGGTCAATTAAAATTTTAACAAATAGTGAAATGGCAAGATTCATCTAACATGACAGCTGCAAACAGCTAAAGATCCAGATGCAGAGTACTTTCCCACAGCCTTCCCTCCACAAGTACTCTGGAAGACTTGAAAACACAGCCAAGAAACACAGCCCTGCTTTGGGGGGAGTGCATATGTGCAGACATTAAAAGGTAAATTTTGGCTGCTGAGGTACAGACATGATTTCCTGATTTTGCTAAAATAGTAAAAGCTTTCTTTAAACCACAAGCAAGAAAAATAAGCTCTGTCACTTAAGATGAAGGCAAAGAGCCATTATAGCTACAGACAAGGATTGAAGAAATCCTTTCTCCACAGTGCAGAAAATACCCAAACACAAACAAAACATCTTTTATCACTGGGACATGGGAGGAAACTCCTGCCCCAAAACTGGATACAGAATTGGAGATCAAGGCATACTTGTTTCCATAGGTAAGACAGACCAAGAACTCACATGGTGACTAGGACCTGTCAAAACTGGAAGGAGGGAACCATCATAGAGCACACCCATTTCCCTGCGATGCAATCATAAAGAAATAAGCATCAGAAGCTGACTACTTCCAAAGACTCCAGTGTATGGGAGTGACCTATGTAGCCTTTACATGGGGAGTATGTGTAAGGACGGCAACTTCCAGCACACCACCATCCATTCAAAGGGAATGCAGAAGCCGCTCACGTGCTTGGAAGAGTTTTGGGCCTATGTTGCACTAAAGACAATGATGGCTACATCAAAATCCAAACTTATCTAAATTCGTGATTTCTTTGAGGTTTAAATTCTCAACACCAACAGCCTGTCGGCAAGGGTATTCCACATCCAGGCACAAATACAACTCAAAGATACAGCACCAAGAGATGAAAACAACAAATAAATAATCCACTACAAGAAACATAACAAATAAACTCAAAGATGACATGGATTTGGGAATAAGCACATTTGGGAGGGAACATAGGAGAAATAAGAGGGAGAAAAAAAGAATGATATAATTATATCTTAATTAAAATGTTTAAAATTATTAAAATAAAAAATACATAGAAAAGGTGGAATCATTTACGAAGAAATGGGGAATTAGAACAGAAAATTGTAATAATGAAATAAAGAATTGGATGGAAATTCTAGAAGGAAAATTATGCTATCAAAGATGAAGAATTCCTTCCTGAGAAGACTGTATAGTAATGTATAGAAAATGAGTTGATAAAAACTGTCCAAAATGAAACTGACAGAGGATAAGAGAGGTCAGAAAAACAGCAATGACCTCACTGTCAATGTGGTGGGTGAAATAAAACTCCAGAAAAAAAAGGCAACTAAAGAGATGAGGACAAGGAATTTTACAAAAATAACAAAAAGACACTAAGACAAAACACACCTCAGAGAAGCCCTTATAAAATAAACCCCAATTTCTCATTCATTCCTCCACTCCACCCCTCCCTCTCTCTCATACCCTCATCAAATAGCCAGAAACCAAAGTAAAAACTCTAAAGACAACTAGACAAAACTAGGTCTGAATAAAAACATCATAAGAAAACATGTTATTGTGTATGCCAATTTAAAAATTAAAAGGGGAAAATGTACAAAACAACTAGAATAAAATTAAGTCACAATAACCACTCCTCATCTACCAGTAAGTATCTTGTGTATCATAGATAATGTCCTCTTGTCAAAATAAATGAAAGATTTCTTTCCAAGGAAAACACAAAACTCAACTGTAGGCTGCCTATAAGACCCACTTCACCACTGAGGACACACAGATTAAAGTAGGACTGAGGAGATATTCCACACAAGCAGAGACACACAAAATAAAAATAAAATACTATATCAAAAACTGTAAAAAGATACAAAGTTCTTCTGTTATAATAAATTCATCAAGAACATATATGAATTCTAAATATGTATACACCCAACACTGAAGCAGCAAAATACAGAAGGCAAATACTGGATTCCTAGTGAAACAGTAAGAAAGAGTGATGGGTCCATTAGCTCGCCATCGACACTTTATAGAGCATATAAACAGAAAAATCAATACAGAAATAAAGGTCTTGAAGTGCACTTTAGATATAATGGGACAAAAATAAATTATTTTTCTATCCCAAAATAGCAGAATACACATTCATCTCAAGAGCATACACTACAACACTCCAAGATAATCCACCTAGTTAACTACAAAACAAGTCTCAGCAAACTTAAGAAAACCAGAACCACATCAAAATGTGTGTTTGGGTTATAAGATATGAAACACAAAACAATATAAAAGATTTTATAAAATTTACAAATATGTGAAAATTAAATAATATGCTCATTGTTAACTCGACTATTATAATGACCTACAAAGCCTTGAATGTACAGTCATGTGCCAAATGATGATGCTTCAAGCAACAATGAGCTGCACATATCATGGGAGTTCCATGAAGTTATAATATAGCCTAGGTACAGAGTAAGTTTGTGTAATATACCATATGATATTTGTAGAGTGATGACGTCATCTATCATATATTTCTCATAACCCCACTGTGAAGTGACATACGACAGCACAAGGTACAAGTCGACATCTTTAACCCCGGGTTTGACATTATTTCTTCTCTCCTTTAAAGTCATCCTGTCTTTCTTTCAGTCCTTACACACATCAGAATGCATCGTGACCTGTTCTCTCTGCCTTCAATTCATAGTTCTCTCTCTAGTCCTATATCTCTCTGCACATCTACCTACCTACCTATCTACCTACCTACCTGCCTGCCTGCCTGCCTACCTACCCCATCATCTGTGTAGCCCAGGCTGGCCTAGAACTCCAGAACTTCCTGCTCCGATTCCCAAGTGATAAGACTGAGGTGGGTGCTATTATACCTAACAGAAGGAAGACTCCCCAACCTGAAATCATACCTGAGCCACAGCAGTGAGAGTATCAGATTCTAACCAGTAGGCCCAAAGAACAAGACATTTTCTAGTTTCTGATGAAGTTCACTCAAACGGACTGCTACTCATATCAACTGCTTACTCAGATCTTTTAACAAACACTATGGATATGGCTTCCTATATTTTTCTTCCTGGTTTGAAGGAGTATCATAGATATCCTTTATATTATCATATATTATCCTTTATAAATTTAAACACAGCAAAATCTTCTCCAAGTTTGTGGTCTAATTGCTTATTTTGCAGTACTCAATATACCAATTTCTTCATCACTGTGATTTAACTGCTGTGTGTGTGTGTGTGTGTGTGTGTGTGTGTGTGTGTGTGTGTGTGTGTGTGTGTATAGGCATGTGTGTGCACACAGATACATCCATGTGCATTCACCTGTGTTAGTAATAAATTCTCCAGTCTCTTTTAAATAGCCTTATAATTTTACTTCTCACAGCTAAGCTTTTATTCGATCTGAAGTTTATTTTTATATGTGATATGATAGAGATTTAATCTCAATATTCTTTATATAGAGATTCTATTTGCCCATCATCATTTCTTAAGTAGTTAATCTCTCTTCCACCAATTTGTGCGATCAGCCTATCATATAT